CTTTTTAGTTCAGCCTTCCCAGCTTCCTAAAGCATGCCCGTCAAGTGTACTTTCTTGCCCTCCCCTTTTCCTCTGTTTTGCTTACATTGTTTTATCAATTTTATTTTTAAGTCTTACTTGCTTATCTGCATACTTGGTTAATCAATGCCTCCCACTTGCTAGCGTATCTGCTTCTGTATTTTGCTACTGTTTTAATGGATTTTGTGAAGCACTTTGGTGTATCTCTGGTTTTAAATGTGCTATACAAATAAAGTTGTATTGTATTGTATTTCTTGGCATGTTCAATAAAACACGAAAGGTTCAGCTGTTGTGCGTTGTGTGTTCATTCAGATTTCGTAATCGTAAATCAGATGGAGACCAAACCACATTCTCACTTCTGCCAAATCTGCATTTAGTTCCTGGTTTCTGTTTTCCAAACTGCACAGCAAGCAACCAGTCTGAGTTTAGGTTTAGTTTAGGACCTTTTTATTAAAAGTTACAAGCTGTGTTTAAAGTTCAAACTCATTAGAAGATTCATGGAAACACACAATGTCAGTCAACTGAGATAGTGAGAGGTTCATATTCAGTGGATAGAAACCATTTAAGGACCTTAAGGGACCTGTGGCTAAAATGATGGTGCAAATATTACACCATCATCTTTTCTACATGATACATGTAGCAGTAGATATCTCCAAATATGCATCCACATTGTGTTGAACAGCGCTGAAGAAATTTCCTCCAGTGAACAGCAGTCACACAGTGACTTCCAAACTGTTAAAGTTGAAGCATTTGTTGTCTTTTTAAGTTGTCTGAGTGTTAAATGCATATTTTGTTGTGCATAAAGTGACACAAGTCTTGTATTTTAGGTCATACTCAACATGATTTTGTATCTCACCGGATTTGGTATCGCCATGGTAGCTTTTGTTGTCTACACCATGAATATGATAGTTTTATACACCATGGAGAATTACAGAACAATATTTGGAAGCCTATCACCTGATAGTGGTAAGTGTGGGGAAGAAGAAGCTGCAGAGCTAATCTCTTCTTCCATTATCATCCATGTCTAACTGCAGCCAGAGGAGATGATAAGCCTGTACAAGAAAGATGTGTCTCAAAAAATGCATTAAATGTTAAAAGAAGTAAACATTGACATTTCACCAAAGGTCAGTCAAAACTTTCTGAGAGTAACAACAAAGAGTGCGTTTGTGTCCAGATGGTGATTCTGGTGATCAATCTGCTGCTGATCGTTTTGTCTGGCGTGGAGGTCGGCGTCACCATGACCTCTGCCTTTTGGGAGATCAAAGCATATTGTCAGCGTCAAAACATGGTAGAATATGGACAAATATTATTTTTTATATTTATCTTAAATCTGTGTTTGCACAGGAAATGTTGTGCAAAGATAAAAATATTTATATTGGTAACTTTTTACATTTTGGGTGAAACTTTGAAAATATCATATGAAGTTAACTCTTTAGTTTTATCTGCATTATTTTATGTGGCGTCTGCAGGGAAACACCAAGTCCCTGCAGTGCAGCTTTTATTTAAGCATCACATGAGCTAAAATGCATTGCATTTAAGTTCAGTCTTTGTGCAAAACAGCTTTCTGGTAGCCTCATATTAAATATACAGTCATACAACAGTCATGTAAATAGCTTTAAGGCCACAGTCAGCAGCAATGATGTGAGTTAACTGTTTTATGCATGACTTTATCAAACTTTCACATCATTTGCATGCTCTCGTTTACAACATTGGCTTAGTTCACTGAGTTCTGAATGAATATGGACAGTGGACACAAACAGTGACGTGTGCATCTCTGCATGAAGTCTGTGTGGTCGCTGCTCTGTGAGATTTGAGTGTGTCAGCACCCTGTCAGGAACTGAGCCCACATTATTTTTCTCTTTTAGAGCACTGATGACCCAGAGCTCCACAAACCAGTGCTGATAGAAGTGACTGCGCTGCCTGTGGTCTGAACATCTCGACTCTGTGTGATGTCACATCAGCGATCAAGAAAAATTGTGACTGTACAGCCTCCAACTTCTGAGAGTTTTGTAAATGTTCCTAAAAATAATCATGTTTAATTTTTTTTAACGAAGTCACCTGTAACTGTTATATAATTTATTTTGCTTGTATTTTTGAAATTTTATTTTTAGAGAATTTTATATTAAACTTCAACATTAAGCTTTTTGTCTGAAGATTACCGTTACTAAAATGTTTAGGTGTCATGGTGTAGAATATATGAATTATAGCACTGTGTATATTTACTCTGTTACTGACGAACTTAGACTTAGTTACTTTTTATTGTAATCAATTACTCGACCCGTTCAGTAAAGACATAAAAACACACAACAATGTTTGCCTGACAATGTGAGATCAAACCTTTGCGACACTGTTGCTGTGACACAATTCGTCCACCAGAGGGCACTGTTCTCTGGTCACAATTGTAATGAGGTTGGAGGGTGAGAGGGTAGTGATGGGATTTCCGGCTCTTTTTAGAGATCCGGCTCTTTCGG